AACGTAAAACATTCTTCATTCCAACAAGGTCTACTCCCAACAACTGTTTCGAGTTCCGTAGAGGAAGGGCTTGAAGGTTCGATTCGATATAAAAGAATTATTACATCTCGCTTTTAGTTCTATTTGAATTCTATGCAAACTCAAATCGACAATTAGAAGTGAAACTTGACAGACTTTAAATCCCAGACCAATAGTAAAAAGTAACCGATGTCCAGTGATGGCTATTAAATATTTTCTGTGAAATTTCAAAACAGTGCTTTAAACTTTGCAGTGTATCAGAGGCCAAATTAGAAGTTGAAGCCATGACTATTTTCAAAGCACATTAAAGATGATGTTGTGGTCTTTAGATATTGATTTTTACCTAAACTGCTAACAAAGAGCTATAAAAGCACGCCAAAAATATGAGACTATATAGACATGAGAGAAATGCGCTTCCAAGAAAATTTATTAAATTTGAGGAAAAGTTCACCCAGAGTTACCTCAGAGGTATGCAACGAAAAGACTCCACGTGGTTGTAGGCATGACAGGAAGTAGCGACGGGGTTAAGCTGTTATAACTCCACAGTTCATTATTTTAGGGGCCTAATGTTTACGTAATTTGGTAAAATTGGGCGACAAAGTCAACAGCTGAAAAGATACGCAGATTTACCTAATTATATTTTACGAAAAAGGCGGTCTTAAGAACGCTCCGAAATTATAAGATAAAAAATAACTGTTCCAGAAATTTTCAAATAAGACGATAATCATTGCACTTGCTAAGCAGTTGTTGCTTAGTCTTCGTACTTTGACTTAGGAAATGAGTTTAAGTACCACACGAGAGACAAATTAATTGACTGACACCGTTAATATTCGATTTTAGAGAAGGCTCTTTAGAACTTTCGAGGGTGTATCATCGTTTTTTCATTATTTATCACGAATGCCACGTAGTCTTATCTGTTTTATCATTTGCAGCAGTGAAAACTGTTCGGTTATAGAAATAGGGCTTTAGAAGTTGTACTTAACCAAAGTTTGAAAACATAAGCTCTTGTTTAATGACACGCAAATTTTACTATTTTTCGTAGAGCTATCAAGTGAGGAAAATAGCGAAGGACTTTAGCGAGCACTATTAGTAAAACCTTAGAGAATATTACAGAAATGAAAAAGGTGAATCCGCAGCATATATCAGATCCAATGTAGTAAAATACACTAGATCAAGTTGACTGTAGAAGTTATAGTGAACGACAACTGACTAATAAGCCGGCATATTATGCACAGACGTCTTCATAGGTTACTTTTTTTAAGAAACTTGCTAGTATCATTCTTTAAAAAAGAATATGAGAAACAACTCACGCGCGAACGCGATTCAGCCTCAGCATCCATTTGTTCTTGCTCCTCGCCCTGGTTAAAGTAAACGCTCGCCAGGCGACCAAAGAACAGTCTAACTATACGCTGTCCCACCCCAAGGACAACCACTGGTGGAATTAATTTCCAGACGGGTAAACGACGCGAGGTTCGAATGGGAATAGACTTCAATCCAGCTTTAATGTTACCAGTAATCGATCCCAGACGAGGACCCGAAGAAAAAGGCATCCACCGACGAAGACCTTCCACAAAGCAAGAAATTATGCTCGCAGGCTCTGAGGCGATATCAGACTGCAAATAATAAAGTGTGCAACGTTAATACCACTATAAAAACTACAGAATGCATGAACGCGCTAAGAATAATTTAGAGTTATAGCTCCTAAACGGCGAAAACGGTACATTGAAAACAAAACGTTGGTTTTGCTTACCTGTACGAACTCGACGATGCTGGCAGCGTAGAACGGTGTG